ACTAAACAAAGGTTTATACATACTGTCACACTGCCACCCTTTTGAAAAAAGTGTGCTTAATTGTAATGATTGTGCACTTGTACTGTTCACCTAATTACATTTAATATCAGCTTAAACTATAATACATTTTCATTTAATTGCAATTAGCATGCAATTAAGTGTCAGAAAACACTGTTCATTTCACACTTGAGTATTTTTTAAAGTATATTAATCTCATAATAAATATTCTTTATACAGTGTTCTAAAGTGTCTTTATGTACTTCAGAGTCTCTCTATAGCAATACTTAATAAAAATGAACACAGGGTTATGCAGCATGTGTTAAAATTCAGCTATTAATAGATTAAGTCTGAGAGACTTTGATTATATGTAATTTGGGCATAATTGTTGAAAGATCATCGCAGATGAATGCAGATAGTTTCAGGCTGAAGTCAGGGCTCTGGAATAGAGCATAGACTTCCCTCTGTCTCTTATTTAAGGAGGCTTAAAATGTCTTTGAATGAATGAAGCCTATTGAACATTCAACTTCCTACTACATAACAACAAGATGCCTTTGAAATATGTACCATAAATATGTCTGGCAGTTAAAAAAATCTGAAGTACATAACATGCTTTCACACTACAGCTGAGTTCTGTATGGTTTGTTTGAAATAGGCATTTCTACAGTATGTGAAAAGAGACTTAAAGGTGAAGTGGCCGGTGATTGGGTTTGGACTAAGCTTGAACCAAGTATAAAAACAGTGTTTGCATGATTTCTCTGCACTGTTTTCTATGAATGTGGCTTTGAGCTTCATAGTTAGACAATTGCCAGTTCGGTCCTCATTAATCTATGCCTCTGTTGTCTAGTTTCATTGTTGCTTTAGTGGTTAGTGTCATCTGGGACATTTCTGTGCAGTAACAAATTTGTGTCTGTGTTTTTGTTTGGTATTGCTTTTTTTTGTTTGTTTTAGACATAGCCAATGGCCTAACAGACAGACTTCTGACCTTCCTGTGAGAGCTGAACAGACTGTACACTGACTAAGTGCTTTCTATCATGTGGGCTTGAGTTTTGCCCAAAGTACATTTAAACATCAGAACATCACTTTTAGTGGGAAAGAAATGTATCACACTTTCAATTGTCAAGGGATTTCATTGTGGAGTTTTTATTTTTTATTTTTATTTTTTTTAGTTTAAAGGAAAAGAGTTTACTTTGTGTTTCTACAAAAATATGAAGCAGTACAACGTTTTTCAACATTGATAAAAATAAATTATTCTTGAGCAGCAAATCAGCATTTTAGACTGATTTCTGAAAGATCATGTGACACTGAAGACTGCATTGTATGATTTGTATGTTTTGTTGTTGTTGTTGTTTTGTCCACATAATGTAAGCCAATAGGGGTCCAATGTTTTTTAACCAAACATTCTTCAAAATATCTTCTTTTGTGCTCCAACAGAGGTAAAACATACAGGTTTAGAATGGCATGAGGGTGAATAAATGATGATAGCAGTTCATTATTCAACCACAATGTAGAAATAACTCTCAGCTCCTGTCATAGTACTGGCTTTGCATGACCGGATGAAAGGAAACTGAGCTACTGTGAGCAAGCATTCTCTGTTATAATTCAGATTTGTTACTCATTACCCTTTGTCCTCTAGTGGTTTGATTTGGAAAACCTCAAACCTCCATGCATAAAAAACACACTCCTGAGTGCATACTCCAGACCCTTTTCACGGCTTGGTGGACAAATGCTAATCAGGTGATCTTTGTCTCAGGGTTGTTGGGAAATGTTTTTCCAGGTAGCAGTGGAAAAGGTCATTTTTGTGGGGAAAGCGTGGGGTGGAACAGGATAGAACACAATACTCCTCTCATCATCTGCTGTAATCATCAACTATTTAGCAATAAACTGAAACTGGCCAGTCTTACACTCATTGTTTAGGCTGCCATGACGTTTGTGCTACTGTTTAGTTCTACATCTTTCCCACCTTCTGTAAAACAGTGATTCCCTATGGAGTCATCTGCATGCATTGTTTCAGGATTTACAGTGCTCAGAGAAGACCATTAATACAAGTATAGCCACCATTTGTTTGATATTAGGCTGTTACACTGTCCTCTTAATATTTAACATATTTAATAAATATTCAGTATGTAAATGTTTAATTTGATTATAAATCTGGACTCTGCGGTATGAATATTTTGCAGAATGAATATTTTTATTTTTTTTCTGCTAGGGGACCATGAATCTGTCTGAGGTCTCATTTAAAAGAATTCTTTGTGACTTGAGGCAGGAGGCTCAATGTGGCCTTTGTTGCTTGCAAAGCATCTCATATCAAACGAACAAGGCAAAATGTCTCTGAATCACTTTGTCTCACAGCAAGGAAAAAGGCAGACAGTTTTGTCTTAGCCTTAAATGTTTCATGGACACACAGGGCTGTTTCAGCAGTCTGTGGGATCAGTGTGTAGGTGTGAGCAGACGTGCTGCCGTCATAGAATGAGACCCTCTGATAAATAAGTCCCCCCCACACACAAAAAGAAAAATAAGTCATGTATTCATTAGCTCAGTAATGTTCATTTACAGACCCACTAAACTGAATTCCTGCAGTTAATGCACGTCACAAGTTAGAAATTAACTTTTCTTTACAATGAAATGCTTTAGTTGGCAATAAGTTCAAACTATATAGTCCAGCTAAGTCATGCTTTAAAGGGCATATATATATATATATATATATATCAGGGC